ACTGCAGGGGCTGGGGGCCCAGCTCTGCCCCCAGCTCGCCAGACGGCTGCAGCCTGGGGCAACAGCCCCAAGAGGGAGGGTGTCGGGCATGTCTGGGCAGACCCAAATCCTAGCAGGGCTCAGCTCTGGTGCGAGTACGGTCCAGGCACGCGGGAGCTGGGTGGAGGCGTGACGCGAGGGGCTTGCACAGCACTACCCCAGCTGCATGTCCCGGACTGGGGGCGAAGCCCTGGGAGGAGAGCAGAGCCCCCTCTCGGCATTGCTGCAGCAGACCAGGCAGCGCTGAGCCCAGATGCACCCGCAGGGGAGCAGCAAGGAGGTGCCACGGGGCTGCATCCAGTGCTGGTGGCAGCAGAGGGAGGCTGGCAGGTAGGGCAGGCCGCAGGGACTTCGGTGCGTACACACGTGCTGTCCCAGGAGAAGCTCTCGGAGTGCCCTAGCACGGGGTTGCTCCCCGGTTATTTGTGTCCTGGAGCTGCTGTTTTGACCCTGAGAGAAGCAGCCTGAACATCTGCATGCTCGTGGCTTGTGCCGGAGAGCAGCAATTGTCCTAGCAGCTGGAGGCTTCTGCAAGACCTGACATGGGCCCTATGGGGGGACACTCGGGCAGCCAGGAGGCAGCAGGGCCCAGTGGCTGCAGCAGGGCACACTCAGACTAGGGACAGGGGGAGGGAAAGGGCATGACCCCGCTGGGCTGGGCACCGCCAGACCTTCACAGATGTAAGCAGAGCCCTGGGGGTCAGGGACACTGCGGCCATGCTCGGCTGTCTGCATCAAACCAGTCACTCCAGGGTTTCCCATCATCTGGACACACGTGCGGGTGAAGCATGGGCAGCATCCAAGAGGGTTTGGAGTCGACAGCGGCTAAGACCCACTGGCTGCAGTGCAGGAGCGTTGCCCTCCCTGCCCCGGGAGCGCATGGGAGATGAGCAGCAACGCAGGCCCGCGGCTGGCACCCTCCGTCCAAGCTCAGTCCAGAGCCACCGGTGAAGTCGAACTTGCGGCACAAAGCAGGGCCAGGCCGAGGCTATGGCAGGCCTTTCTCTTGCAGCAAAGCAAGATAAGGACCAAAGGCTGGAAGTTGCATCTAAACAGAATTGGGCTGGATCTCGGCACACACTTTGCTGTTGCAGCAGGGAGGCTGCGGGAGAGGTGTGGGGAGCGGGGGACTCCCCAGCACTGGAGGCATCGAGGATGGACGAGCACCGGGCAGGGAGGATCTGATGCCCGTGCTCTGCTGGGGGGTGTCCCAGGCTGCTGGGCTGTGCTGGTTTCCCCCAACCCCTTTCTGCTCCATGTGTTGGGGGTTTAAACCTCCCTCAGAGATGCTGGGTGCTGCTGCAGCCCCGCCTGGGGATGAGGCTGGGCTGGGACAATGCTCCTGCTGGCACCAACCCTGCAGGGTGCTCGCTGGAGGGTCTTGCCCCTGCACTCAGGCTCAGCCCCACGCTGTGCTGGGGCAGGAAGGGATTTCCCCCCTGCTCAGACTAGGTGCACTGGGGGTTTTTTGCCTTCCTCTGCAGTGGGGGCATGGCCTGGCCCTGGGCTCTCTGCAGCATCCATGACCCCCTGGCAGCAGCAGGATGTTGGCGGCCACAGTCCCCCTGTATCCCGGGGGCAGGGTGGGGATGACTGTGTCATGTGGCTTCAAGGTTGCACATGGGGTTCGCTGGGGCTGATCCTGCTTCAGATGGGACACGACACGGCTTTACAAGTGCTCGTGGTGCTCGGGCCAGGTGCTGGATGATTGGAAGATAGCTAACATGGTCCCCATCTTCAAAAAAGGGAAGAGAGAGGACCCAGGCAACTATAGGCCCGTCAGTTTTACCTCAATCCTGGGGAAACTCTTTGAGAAGATCATCAAGGAGCACATCTGCGACGGGCCGGCTTCAGGGATGATGCTCAAGGGCAACCAGCACGGTTTCATTAGGGGCAGGTCATGTCAGACCAACCTGATTGCCTTTTATGATCAGGTCACAAAAGCCTTGGATGCAGGTGTCGCCATGGACGTAGTCTTTCTAAACTTCAGCAAGGCCTTTGACACCGTCTCCCACCCCATCCTCATCAAAAAACTAGGCGACTGTGGCATTGATGCCTACACCGTCAGATGGGTTGCAGATTGGCTCAAGGGTCACACTCAGAGGGTGGCGGTGGACGGGTCATATTTGACCTGGGGAGAAGTGGGCAGCTGAGTTCCCCAGGGCTTGGTCCTGGGGCCTGCGCTGTTCAATTTCTTC